GGTTATAAATAGCGCGCCTCTGTTTATCAAAAGCCGCATTACATACGCATACATACTTTTTGTCTCCTTCCCACACTTCCAACATATGCACGTGTTTGCAAAATGATGACGAGGTGATTTTGTATGGAAAATCATTTATGCCCATATATTTGAATAAAATAAACATATATAGAAGATATCAACCAATACTTCCCATATACCAAACGAAAGGAAAACTCTTGAATTTTTGATTAAAGAAAACAAAAACAAAATCATTCGAGCGGTTTTCGAGCATTTTGGTAATGAAAAAAATTTGCAAATTTTTTCAACAATTTTTTGCCTTAAAATGCTTAATATTTGTTAAATTTATATAAAATTTGTACCCGATAATATTTCTACTGATCCAAAGAACCTATATCCTGAAAATGAAAGTTATATATGCCAACAATAAGTTGCTAGAGCACTTTAAAGGCTCAAAATTGACCCCAAAATAAGGCAATGTTTACCGTTGTTTTTACGACAGAAACCGACTTGGTTATTTACAAAAATGGATCTGTCGACAGGTTTGGAATTTTATCTTTGAAACGCCACGCTTTTCTTTGAAATCGCTTTATTAGTTCTCGTGCAATAAGCGTTTTTGTGAAGCTCTAAAAATTACAACTACAACATTTGAACATAGCCCCCATACCTTAAGGTAAGACGTATTCTACGTCAAAATTAGCAAAAAAATGTGTTTGCTTTTTATTAAAATTCTGTTTGAAATATTTAAAAAAACACACAGGAAAATCAACTAGTTGTGTTTTCGTATTCTCCAGCAAAATATATTTAGTAACTTGCCAGTAACCAAATTTCGGAGAGTAAGCCAATATTTACTCCCAATGAGTGAAATACGCAAGAAAGTACGAAAACGCAAAACCAGCAAGAAGTTGCTAGTTTTATGAACAGCTGATTAATTTGTTAATTTCCGATGCAGTTTTCTTCGAAAACTAATATTTTCCATCTTATTATATATTTAAATAGGTTTATTTTGTCAATTGCAACTCTAAAAGCACCACAAACAATTATTTTGGAAATGTGAATTACATTAAGCATCATGCCATCAGCTGTTTCTCTTACTAGCAAATAGTTGCTAGTAAAAATTAATCCAGTAAAAATCCAGTAAAACTTGCAAGTTCAGCTGTCATTTCTGCTCTCTCAATTTCCCCTCTTTTGCTAGTTTCTTGCAAGTTTTTGCGTACGAAAACGAAATCCAGTAAAATTAGTACTGGATTTTCTGGATAGTGCGTACGCGAACAGGGCTTTTATTTTATCTCCAATAATTGAGGAGTTAGATGCAATAAGGGCGCTTCTGTTAAAACTACTTTCTGAGATATTGGCGTTAAAGTTTTTGATGTGTATAACTTTCTTGTTGATGTAGTATATAAAAAAGTAGTATTGTTGTAGTATTGAAAAAAATTTTCTACTGCGGAGAAAATCGTCAGATTACTAGTATTCGACCCTAATTTAACTGTAATAAACGCTTTCGATCAAAAAACGTGTTACCTATGTTTCTTTTTTTTTGAAATCTTCAGTGGCCCAAATTATGCAAAAAACACTTATTTTAAAAATTTAATTTTGATTTCGTAAAATAGTGTTTTTATACGAGTATTTCAATACGATGTATTTCAATATGCATACAACATGAAAATTTTGTACAAAATTCCTCCGCCGTCGCCGCCGCCGCACCGATATTTTCGTAACTCAGCGGCGGCGCGTGAGAAATCTCTATTATCTACTGTTTGTATAAACAAAAACTTTCAATTGGTGCCAAATTTCGGAAAGATCGATTAAAAATAAGTTAAACACATTTTATATTAATCGGGCTGGGCACGCCCATATTCCTAAATTTTACAATTGTAATATTCTTAAATTTTACAAAAGCCCAAAATGTTATGTTAAATTCTGACCCCAGAAATCTGATCAATTTGGTATTATTTTATAGTGAAATATTAAATTTTTTAAATTTTCCGAAACCATCTACGTTTTATAAGCGGAGCGGAGCCACGCTTGTTCAACATTTTGTAGCCGTCTATTTTCTAACCTAAGCATTGTCCTAGTTTTGATTTTCCGAAATCTTTATAACAAATTTCATTGAAATATCTCAATTTTTGTCGAGTTATCGTGTGCAGTGGCAAACACCATGTCAGACAGACATGTCTTAATCGATTTAGTATATACTTATTTATTCACATACATATGTACATATACCACGGTCAAAAGTATTTGCCCAGAGAATTTTTCATGACATATGTAAAAAAAAAATTATTTAATTTTATTTTCGCTAGTTTTTTTTTATAATAATATGGTTAATAATACAACAAAAACATGGAATACTACAACATAAACAGAAAAATTCAATAAATGTCCATGTAAATTTTCAATTTTTTTTGCTCATTAAATTTGAATAAAAACTGTAAGTTTGAAGTTTCTAAAAAATCGCTTTTACTTTTGAGAATGGTTTTTGTTGAAGGCGTTTTGCATTTTTTTTTATACAAAGTATTTTGGTTTTTTTTTTTTTTTATGGAGAAAATTGCGTGAACAAATTGCCAAAAATCAATGGTAACTCCTAGCTACTTCAAACTTGCACTTTATTGTACTAAAATGTATTGGCCTACAAAACTGCATTATCGAAAAAAAAATGATTCTCTTATTCTTCTTATTTGGCGCTGTAACCGCTTAAGCGATTTTGGACGAGTTCAACAAACCACACCAGTCGTTTCTTTTCTGTGCCAACTGACGCCAATTGGAAATGCCAAGTGAAGCCAAGTCCTTCTCCCCATGGTCCTTCTATCGCAGTGGGGCCTCCCTCTTTCTATGCTACCAGCAGCGGGTTGCAGCAGCGGGTTGCGAGTTGAATACTTTCACAGCTGGAGCGTCAGTGTCCATTTGAACGACATGTCCAAGCCAGTGCCGTACTCGCCGTCGCCAACGCGCAAAGGCCCGTAAATCTTCCGCAAAGTCTTTCTCTCAAATACTCCAAGAGCCACTTCATCGGATGTTATTATTGTCCATGCTTCTGCGCCATATAACAGCACGGGTATGATGTGTGACTTATAGAGTAAGGTTTTCGTATGTCGAGAAAAGACTGCTGGTTCCCAAGTAAACGAAATTCTCTACCTTCTCGAAAAAAATCTAAAAATCTGATTAAGAAGTTGAAAATTTGCATGGAAATTTATTGAATTTTCCTGAGTTTTGCACAAAGTTTAGAAATCAGATTTGTATGTCTTTTGTTGTAGTATGAACCATATTTTATATATAAAAAGATTTGCGGAAAGAAAATTTAAATAAAAATTATTGCATATATTGCGAATAGTGATCTGGGCAAATGCTTTTGACCGTGAGTGTATATGGGAAAAATACATGTATGTATGTACATATCTGCCCATTATTTATTTCGATTCGTTTAGGGTGTTATGCAAATAAATTTTAATAGTAATACCCCTGTACACATACGCTCTGGTATAAAAAAAAAAAACAAAAATCATTATTACGATCAACATATTTTCCAGCACATACCCATGTGTCCAGTTGTCATCATATTAACTATTTCCGGCGTTATGATCATTCCAGGTTCGTGTTTTATTTGGCTCGGATCGATTTCCATTACTGTTGCACCGGATATGTCCTGATGTGATTGTGCTTGTTGTTGGCTATGTGTTGAGTGTGAATGAGAAGTTTGTTGTTGATGTACTTGATGTTGTTGATGTTGCTGTTGCTGTTGCTGTGCCTGTGTCTGTGTTAGTTGTTGTGCATGTAATTGATGTTGCTGTGATTGGTGATGCTGCTGTTGTTGCTGCTGTTGTTGTTGTTGTTGTTTCGCCTCAATCACTTCACTCTTTATGTGTTGTACTAAATTCGAGTTACTCTCGTCGCCAGTTTGATGATGCATAGCATGCATCGGAGATTGATCAAGCCGTTGAATCATATGTTGGGCCAAGTGATTGTCGATGTCAAGTGCTTCGGTGGGGTCTGGAAGAATGTTCGACAATAAACAAAGGTTCATATACATATGTATGATGTATATGAATGATGATAGGCTCTAATTTACACCAAGTGGCATTCGAAATTTTGCTTATTCTTTTTTTCTTCAACAATGATTAAAGCAAATTTTTTACAAGTCACCAAAAAATATAAATACATATATTAGATAAAGTACCAAAAACTCACTTGATAAATCTCGGGTGTCAGTATTAGGGTTACAAGATAAATCAACATGTTCCGTTACTGTTACAGGTGTCGCTGAAGGTGCTGGTGGTTCTGGTGCAAAATCTAAAAAGCCCATTGGCACTCCGAGAATTCCGCCATTCTAATAAATGCAATGGAAAAATAAAACCATTGAAGTTAAGTATATACAAGGATATGTATTCATGAATACTTAAGATTGAAAACAAAATGTGGCGAAATCTTGACATAGAGATAGCAAAAATAAGTTTTGTATCAGCATGGGATCCTATAGGATGTGAAACGGTGTGTTTAACGCCTTAGGGTTCGCCTAAAAATGGTTTGGTTCGGTTCAATTCGGTTCGAAAAAACAATAGTGTTCCCTGGTACAATACTTTTCGCATATAAAAAGTTGAATTTAAGAGAAAACTCATCTAACTGCAAATGTAGATGACCTTGCCGTTATTATCTCCGGCAGAAGTCTGAAAACGAGCACACTGAAAGATATTTGGACCTTAGCAAAAGAGGTGGTACTTATTATAAAAACAGATGAACAACATGTACGAGATTCCCAAATTAAGTAATTAGGGCTACCACGGAATCCATCGTAGAAAATCTGCGCATTCAAATGCCTGCTACGTGTGAACTCGAAAATATCGTTGCCAGC